CATAAACCACAGCTCGCTGATCTTTGTGATCCCAGGGCAACTCCTCTCCATGGGTAAAAGTACAACGTGAAAAAAAAACAAGCCTGTCATTTAGAACCTGACGAAAAACAAGCAATTCCCATTGTCCCTACTCTGCAATGGGGCAGTGTGGCCGCCACACGGTCCAGCGCTCAGCTGGGTACCAGAGGGTCAGAAACACCTTGGGGTCATGTAAGCTGAGCTCCTCCTTCCGTGGAAGCTCAGAAAGGTGGAGGGATTTATCACAGCACCATGAGGTAGCAGAAGCCAGTTGCCGCAACACCTGATTAGGGGCTGCTTTATTCAGGAGCTCCTTCCAGGAGACTTAGTGGGAAGAGCCATCCTCAGATGGTTTGCCCTCAGCCCACAGCTCACTTCCTGCACCCCCGTTCCCACCTCTGCTGGAAGAACAAAGGATTGAAGAGGAAGGCAATGCTCCACATGACAAAAAGACAGCGCGTTAAACAAGAGCCAAGTAGTCAACAGAGTGTTCATTCCCCACTTTGCTGAAGCCCAATTGCGTGAGCACATTCACAAGCTTGGCAGCGTTGCCAGGCACAGCCTTGGCAGCCTGACGTCTTGACAGAATTATCAATTTGAGTCCTCAGGAAACTAAGTAAAACATCAATTTTAGTTCACAAATAGCACATTTTAGTAAGCTTTAGTAACACACTATGTACTTGACTGATTGGTTAATAGCTCTTTGTTGTACGCGACAAGGAAAACCCATGAAATTTTGCCATCTGCCTAGAAGAATTGAAGAAAGAACATTCTGGAATGTTCAGGCCTGTTTGGGACCATCAGGAAGAGTCTTGTGGTCTCCCAGTAGGTTTCAAACTTAGAGGAACACTGCTCTAAAACTAACATCAGAGCTGGGATAGACATCGTGTCATCAGTGGACAAAAGATGTGCACTTAGGGACACATTTCCATAAGGAACTGTGTGTGGACACCATGAGAAAAAAGAGGCACGCCTACCGCTGGGTTAGCTTGCAGAAATCCACAGGGGAACTTCTCAGTCAGGCTCCTGGAAAGTGCTGGAAGAGAGGGGGAGGCTACAGGATCTGCTCCACTGGAAATCTCTGAGAACAGCCAGCCTGTCCTTTAAGAAACTTTGACGCTTGACTTGCCATCGGGGTGGGCACTGACAAGCCTTTTCTGGATCTATAATTGCATGGTTTATCCTTCCCTCTTTTCGATGCCCCTACACCTTTCCTGTCCTCCACAAAAAAAAGGTAAAAGCTCTGCTCAGCTGCCAGCAAACTGACTGGTCTAGACCCCAGCTTGGATAGGTGCCGGAGAGATCTGCCACAGACAGTAGTTGTGACTCCCTCCTTTGCTTAAAAATGCAGTGGTGGGGACCTGGGTGACTCGGTGAAAGTGTCCAACTCTTGGTTTCAGCTCAGGTCATGACCTTGTGGTTTGTGAGTTCGAGCCCTGCATTGGACTCTGTGCTGACAGTGCAGAGCTTGCCTGGGATTCTCTCTCTGTCTCCCTCTTTCTCTCTGCCCCTCCCCTGCTTGCTCTCTCACTCATTCTCAAAATAAATATACTTTTAAAAAAATACATAGGGGTTAAGGGCTTGCGTCCCAGAGGCAAAACAGATACGGATTTAAATCCTAGTTCTGGTACTAGCTCTAGGCCCTCTCAAGCCTCAGTTTCCTCATCTATAAACTGGAGATACCATCTTAAAGGGCTGTGGTAAAAACCAACAGCCACGGACATAAACGCAGGAAGAGTACTTAACATACGGCTGGCGACAGAGGGACTGCTAGCACTCTGCTCCTGGTGCTGTTATGAGCTGGTGACCTCCAGAGGGTGCTCTGTGCTCTATGGCAAAGTCGACCTCTTCTATGACACCTCTCCTAATCCCCCGGATTCCCCTTTCCTCGACTTCCCTAGTCCCTGTACCAGCACTTCAACACGCACCTCTGCACACCATTATATAAAGATCTCATGCAAATGTCTCATCACACTTCCCTGTTCCTCAAACTAGCTTGTCAGCTCCTTGAAGGCCTGGCTTTGCTGTATATTGGCTCTTTCACCTCAGTCCCCTTCCCCTTTATGCCCAGCTTCAAACAGTTTGAATATACCACCAACAAGCAAATAAGCTGCTGGATAAATACATGGGCGAAGCGTACACCTATAACTTTTTCAGGTATGCGCATATTTGGGATTTACGACACAGAGAGACGAGGAATGAGAAATGATGAGATGTGGGGTTTCATCTCCCAGCGTGCAAGTGAATTACCACCCGGCCAGAGGCTGGGTGTCTATAAAACGCAGCAACTGCCGCCTGCCACCCTCCCGGGGCTGGTGAAGATGGATCGGGCTTTTAAGCAGCAGCGGTGAAACACAACTGGCTCCTTGACTGTAAGTAAAGAAGAGCATCTGGGTTCTGATGGTAACAAATGGAGCTCATTCCCTTTTAGCATTTCCCAGCTCCGAATGCAGAAAACAAGGCAAATAAAATAGGTCTCAGCTCTTGTAAATCAGATTTCCAGAGAAACCTTCTAGCAACTCATGCTAGTGCCAGGAGATTTTTCAAAAGACAAATCTAAATCCTTTCTCACTTTAGGCTCCTTTTCCTTGGTCTCCTAAGGAGATCACAACAGCTCTGACCACCACTATATAGTACCTACCTTTATTCTTCAAATTTTTATTTCACTCTGCTTTCCAGTTGTTGATTTTGTAAAGTTTATTTATTTATTTTGAGCAGGAGTTGGGGGTGGGCAGAGAGAGAGAGAGAGAGAGAGAGAGGATGTGGAGGAGGGGCATAGAGAGACAGAGAGAGAGAGAGAATCCCAAGCAGGCTCCACTCTGTCAATGCAGAGCCTGACATGGGGCTCAATCTCATGAACCATGAGATTGTGACCTGATCCAAAATTGAGAGTCAGATGCTTAACCGAGTGAGCCACCCAGGTGCCCCTTGGTAGCCGATTTAGACCAGAGGTGACCGTTCCCTCCCTATCAGTATTCACATCAATTCTTTCTCCTCTGTCCCCATGCTTCCTCCTTTTCCTCCATCTCCTAAAGCTCAGGCCTCCCAGTGGTGCCTGTGTTAGCTGGGCTTTCCAGGCCCCCCAAGGAGCCGCCCCAGGTGAACGACACTCTGACAGTTGGCGTAGGCCGAGGCCTGCTACACCAGCACCGGGACCGGGACCTGAAGGACCTATCCTTGTTTGTGACACTGATTCACCACGAGCTGCATCAAGGCTAGCTGAGCTTTTTTGTGACTCAGGGACAGTCACTCTCATTGTACACCTGTTACAGGGTCCCTCACCTTTATAACGGTAATTATGATGTGGCTAATACCAGTGCTACTTATGATCTTGGGAACATTTTGAACTCCCAAGGGAAAGGGTACCGGGTTACTATGAGGTGGTGAAATTTCGGAATGCAGAAAATATGTCCCTTAGGATAACAAGGCAGGGGAAATAAACATGGTATGGAATAGTGGTTTACAAGTAGGTTTTAGCAGCAGAGCCCTGTCTTCAAATGAAACCTTCAGTGGAGTCCCACTCCTGGCTCAGATGAGAGAATATGTTTCTTAGCCTGGATTTTAGATATATATATAAAATACATATATACATATACATACATATATATATATTTTATTATATATATAAAATACATATATACATATACATTATTATATATATAATAAAATACTTATATACATATACATACATATATATTTTTTATTATAATTAGTGTATTTTTATAAAGTATCTCAGAATCTCTGCAGAATAAGTCAGTGTCTAGATATGTGCACACAGTTCAAGGAAGAGAGAGGTTGGCATATTCAATCCACGACAAGATGTTCATAGGACTCGGTTTCACTTGCTACAAACACCATTCTGAACGGTGCTGTTTGGTATTTTTGTGTGTTTTATGCATGCTGGCTTACAGCAAATCAAGTGAAAACTAAATACAATCTAAGATGAACTCCAAGAGTCTTAAGAGCCTTAAAAATAGAACTTTACTATAAGAAGATTACACTTTCCCCCCAACAGTGAAAGGTATTGTCAAACCACTTGTATAAGACATTAAACATGGATGGTCTAATTAGTCCCTTTACTTCTGCTGGTATATTTATTGGGAAGAGAGGCAATAATAAGGAATACTTGGCTAAGTGAGTTTTCTGTGGACTTTTAAATTATAAAACAGCCTGATGACTTAGAAAAATACTGCTTTGTATAAATTTGACTAAGGGCTATTAATTTCCTAAATTATCTACAGAAAAACATAACATATATTTAAATTTCCATCAATTGGAAAGACTCGAGAAAGAAACATCTGAAATTCAAACAATCGCAGTATATCATTTTTCTGCTTTTTAAAGGAATATTTATAGCTTGAAAGGGAAAAGCTGGTGAAATATATAAAAATCAGAGAGGCAATTCTTTTCCTATTTTAGGAAAATTATAGTTCTTGAAGAAGACATTGAAAATTAGCTCTCAGTTGACACATACTCATTATCCTGGAATTTCTAAAGGCTCCTCCCCCTTTTGATTTCTGAGAAGAGAAACACATTTGTTTCCAAATTTGAAGAATGGCTTTAATGACTTAAGATTCTAAGGTAACGATCTATAATCTATAGCCCAGGAGCCAGATCCATCAGGCAGCCTGCTGTCCTCTGGCCAGAGCTAAGAATAACTACTACATTTTCAAAACGGTTGAAAAAAAATCAAAAGAAGAATAACATTTCTTGACATGTGAAAATTATATGAAATTCACATTTCAGTGTCCATAAATCAAGTTTTGTGGGATGTAGTCACGCCCACTCATTTGCATCTTGTCTGTGCCTGCCTCAAGCCCACAGCAGAATTGAGTAGTGGCGACTGAGACTGAATGGCCCAAAAGCCTAAAATATTTATACAATCTGGCCTTCTACAGAACAGTTTGCTAACCCCTGAGCTGAGAGATGGAGTCCACTCGAGGGCCCCTCTGTGGTCCTGGGATACACAGTAGGGTGCGTACCTGGTTGAGATGGCACAGGCATTTGTCAAGACACCAGAAACAGCAGGAGCAGCATCTGAACATGCACCTCGACCACGTACTATGCTGGTGGGATCAGAAACAAAACCAAACAAAGAGTCAGAAGCACACGAAGGAAGCAAGCAGGCAGTTTCTGCAGACACACAGTATGTTTCTATCTGAGCTCCGTGCACAGGGGGAAGCATGGTAGCAATTCTCAGTCAGTGTGGGAGAAGTCCTCTATTCAGCATATGCTACTAATTATTGCCATTATTATCACTGATGAGTGACGCGTCTCTCCTGTGGGCTTACCTTGTTGTGACTGCTGTTGACCTCAGCAAAAATGGATAGGGGTTAGTCTATATCAGCAAAGGTAAGCTAAGCCTTCTGGTTTTAGTAAGACACACAAAAAATCTCTTTCCATCTTCCCCTAAGTGTCGTCAATTCAACTTTGCTTTCTCAAACCAGTTTGTATTCATAAAAATTCACATCCCAAAGACAATAAAACAATGCATTGTAAATACTAGTTATGTGCCCATAAAAAAAAAAAAAGAATCAAGTTTTTCTGAAAACAAAAACAATCTATACGGAGACTTCCAGGGCTAAATTTCAAGGGACAAAGTAGTCCTTTGAAATATAATTTGGACATGCGTATAACTCAAGAGTGAATAATTTAATAAAACTCATGGAGGAGGGGTAATTGAATATGTCCCACCCACTGCCCAGATTAAAACAAAACACAAATCCCTGTAAACAATCCTGAAATAGTGCTCTCTGAGGACCCCAGGAGTCAGCCTTATATGGACATTTTCTCATCCCAGTGTTAATTCAATTGGGTGAAACTTTATCTGAATGCTTTTCAGCCTGGCTGTGGTTTGAACGAGCCATTTCACGTCGGGAAGATCATGCAGTGGCTGGGTGGTGTGTTTAAATTGTAGACACAGTATGGGTTTCAGATACTGCTGAGCAAAACCGTATCTTTTTAACTTAAGACAGGACACATTTGTCCAGTAGGGACATCACTGAAGGGGAGTTGGCCCATGGATCCTTTTGGGATGTCGGGAGTGATAAATAATCTTTAGACCTCTGCCAAAAAGACTAGTCCACTGATTCCTTTTTGACATTTAGGGCAGGCTGCTGCCCCAGAGCTTAAGGTGTCTTGCTCTAGGAAGGATGGTGAGGTCCCCTAACTGCGCAATAATTTGTGATTGTCTATTGCTGATGCATACAATAAATATATTTAAGATAAAAAGAAAACTGTTTTGTTCTTCAAAAGAATTCTTCTGGAGGTTGAAGGATCAATTGGAAAGTACGGGGACCAGAGTAGCTAGAGTTGGCTTGGAACTGAAATGCCTCTTTAAGTCACCAAAATGCATAGTTTTTTTATCACTCAAAATGTAGCTCTGAAAACCTCACTGTAAGATTTATTTCCAAAAAGTTAAATTTGATTCTTTTTTATTTTTTTAAAGTTTATTTATTTTTGAGGGAGAGGGGTAGGGGCAGACAGAGAGGTAGAGAGAGAAACCCAAGCAGGCTCCGAGATGTCAGTGTAGAGCCCAACCTGGGGTTCGAACCCACTTACCATGAGATCATGACTTGAGCTGAAATCAAGAGTCAGATGCTCAACTGATTGAGCCACCCAGGCGCCCCAAACTTGATTCTTTTTAATTTGGGTAATCAGTATCTACAATGTAACCTTTCTATAGAAATACCAGAAAATACTCTATGATCAGGGTAGCTTCTTAGCATGAACTTCACGATGAGGAAGCTAGAAATTTTATGTGAAATTCAATCAATTATCCCTAATTGATAAACTAATCTTCAATGTTAATTAGGGACTTAAAAATAGCAATTTAAAATATAGTAAAAAATGTTTCTAATTTACCAAGGACACATAGTTAAACCCAAAAGGTTAGAATCAGGTAACCTTGTGAAACTCTGACCAAGTCACAAGTACGGAGGTGGGGATGGGGGAGATTAACATTGTGTGAGAACAGAAAAGTTGGGGAAAGTCCAGCCTTCCCTTGTTTGGCAGGCCAGAAATACCATGAGAACAGCTGTTTTCCTGGTGTTCTGGTTTCCACTGGCATTCATAACCAAATGTGCACGGAAATAAAAACCAGGGAGGAGAAAAACCCCCAGGCACAAAAGCCCTACAGTTTTCTGTCTTTTGAGCTGAGATTTAGGTCAACTTGTCCATTTCTCACTCTTAAGAACATTTTCTTTCTCTCTCCCTCTCTGTCTCTCTCACACACACTCTGACACACTCACACATAGCCCTCTCACACACACTCTCTTAAACTCTCACACATACATTCTCACACACATGCTCTCTCACACACACTTACACACATTCTCTCACAGACTCTCTCTCACACACATCCTTTCTCTTACATTCTCTCACAACTCTGTCTCTCTCTCACACTCACTCATTAAAGCTCCCTCCTTCCCTCATAGACACACACCTCACTTCCCACGGCACTTCTAGGAAACAGAAAAGTGAGGAATATTTTAGCATTAAAACAGAAACAAATATTACTCCTATCTTGTAGGATATTTTCTTATTTAGAAAAAAAAAGCATGACACACGCCCACAAACACGTGTCTGAGTTTCATTGGAAAAATTCCTCCCAGTTGTTCAGCGTTTGTATGAGAAAAAAACCCAGCTAACGCAGAACTCCCTGCCACCCCACCTCCACCAGCTTGTTGGCAAAAACACCCCACAAACAAAACCGTCAACAAAACTGAGGCAGGGGAGAAAAGGTTGCTAGGGGCCACGTGGGGTTGGGAGCTGAAGGAGCCTGCCGAATGGCCATTGTCATAGGTCCGCATTCCTGCCCAGGGACCTGCTATAGTTTTCCAGTGATTAACTTTTCTGCAGTTCAAACACCCCCTGCAATATGCATGACCGAGCTGCCTTACCTTGTCTTTCAGAGTGTTGGAAAGGTACTTGAGAACAGTTCTTGGAACCCTGGCCACAGCGATTAAAAATGACCCTTTTATGGCTGTTCCTTGATGGTAGCAGAAAAGAATGGAGAGAGACCAAAGGATTGGGCGGTCAGGAGGGTCACTTTTATTTCTGGGAACAGGGAGAAAAAGGCAACATTTAAAAAAACACCATTTAAGACTTCTCTCTGGTTCAAATCATCAATGGTACTAACATTTATAAAGCAGTAATGCAATATGCATTTGGCAAAACTTTTATACTCCTTGGTGGCTAAGGTTAAATTCTTTCTTGCACTGACTCCTTTCCTGACACTCCATGCTACAAACAAACAGAACAGAAAATTCAAAAACAAAAAAAAAGGTACTGATGAGTTAAAATAAACAAGTTTCCCTCTTTATGACACCTCCCCCTCCACCAATCCTTTAAGTCACCCTACATAGAAATCTCATTTTCAGAAGCCTGATGATATAATAATTTCCAAGTTTTTGATTACGTGTGTAAATACTGCCAGCATTAGCTTGGTGATTAAAACCACCACCAAAGTCACATGACCGGGAAAGGCAGCCACAGAGCTCCAGTTTAACGTTAAGGGACAGAAAATTCTGGCTTCTGCACAGCTCTCGGCTCCTCAAATCCAGCTGATTTCTGCTCTGCTTGTTAAAGGTCACTTCAGTGTGAATCATTTGTGCAACTTGTCATGACAGAGCAACCAAGAATGCAAAAGTCAGTTTCACAGGCGGGGGCGTGGAGCGGGGAGAACAAACTGAAAATTTCAGGAACAGAAGGGGCACAGCCTCCGCCCTACCCCAAACCTGAAAGATAAAACAAAGGAGGCAGGGCCGCTGCAAGCCCTCCCCTGACCTTCTGAATTCCCGCTGGTGCCAGTTCTAGAAAATAAGCCTCTTTCCGAGAAGCCACCGCACGGATTCCAAGCGAAGCTTGGTTTCTTCATAATGGATCATTCTACAACTTGCTCCGGTTGCTAATAAGTCACTGTGAATTAAGGTTTTGACAAGAGCCTAGGTTTTGAGGGAGAAAAGGAAGACGGCCAGAAATGTCTCCAGCATTGGCAATGGCTGTATTTTGCTGTTACTGAAATCATCCAGGAAGGAAAAGGGAACATGAAAAGTAATATTGGGAGCCGAGGAACTGTAATCCAATCATCCCACAAAAAGAGTGCTGTGTGGTGCAACTCAATATTATTGAAAATAGGAAATACCAAGGAAGCTATTGCTGATACGAATTCATTTTGATCTGATAAACTAGGAGGCTAATACAGGCCAGGAAAATCTGACACATTTTTTCCCCTTTCCTCAGCTTTTTTTTTTTTTCTTCTTTTTAAAGGAAGAATGTTTACTTTTCCATTTAGGAGATTTATGTGCCTCAGAACTTATTATCGTGCTCAGGAGAGGGTGCGGGGACTAGAGGACACCACCTGCTTTCCATCTGGTAGGGAAACAAATGATGCCTGGGCCACTGTGAATGGAGGCTTTGGAGTCTGGTCCTCCGGGGTTTGAAGTCTGGGTTGAGTATCCTCTGCCTGAGAAGGTTTGGCCGGGACGAGATTAACCATTTCAGGCGGAGTCACTGCCATTGTCCATGACACATCCCGGCTCTCACGCCAGGCTCTCCGGGGCTTGGTTAGAAGAAGATGCAGAAGTTCCAGAAGCTGGGTCATCATGTGATGAGAGAGACAACTTCAAAAGGTGGCCCTTTAAACTCAGGCCGGATCGTGGAGCCAGGAGTCGTTCGATACCTGCCCCCCTAAATTAGAAACCCTACAGAAAAGGGTTAAATGAGTAGAGTGCCTCTGAGGCCCCCACATTCTCTTCTTAGACCTTTCTCCATGTTCAAAGGTAGCATCACGCTGTCATCCCTCCCTGCTGTGTCTGTGGCTGGGGCCTTCCTGTCCGTCTCCTTCACAACCAGCAAAGCCTGCCCTCGGGAAGAGTAACGGAGTGCATCTGGCGAGGCCTGCAATAACCCTGATCTCTGCATGTCCTTGTATTTGGAGAACTGGCTTGTGGGACGGCACTGACGGCAATGCAGCGGGGGCATATCGGGCCACCCAGCGATGAGCTGTGAGGGAGCTGCGTGGGGAGCCCCTGCCACCCGGTTCAGTGGGCGTGGCACGAGGAAGACCTCGGAGGTAGCAGAGAGAGCAGGGGACTCCAGGATGTGCCGCACAAGCCCAGCCCCCCCTTCTTCTTCTTCTTTTTTTTTTAATGTTTTATTTATTTCTGAGAGGGAGAGAGAGAGAGAGAGAGAGAGAGAGACAGCGTGAACAGAGGAGGGTCAGAGAGAGAGGGAGACACATAATCTGAAGCAGGCTCCAGGCTCTGAGCTAGCTGTCAGCATAGAGCCCGATGTGGGGCCCGAACCCACAAACCGTGAGGTCATGACCTGAGCCGAAGTCGGACGCTTAACCAACTGAGCCACTCAGGCGCCCCTCCCCTCTTCTTTTAAACTTGCGGCTGTCCTGAGTGCTAACGGTGCCGGCCCTGTGCAAGGGAGCCAGACGCCAGCACGCCACAGTGACTCACGTTGCAGGACAGAGCGCGAACTGGCCCCCTCCACCCAAGTCCTGTAGCGGCTTCGGCTCATGATATCCGAGCACGGTACTGCAACTACCAGTCCTGCGGGTAACAGAGCATCAGGCCAGGCCAGCAGCTTCGGGGCCCTAGAAGCAAGTCTGAGCTCATTAGATCCAGCCTCGTGCTGCAAACTCTTCATCAGGATGGGGAATGGACTTTGTGCTGGGCTCCTGGACAAGGATGGGCATAAATGGGAGGGATGGCCTCCAATGGAAATCTGGTCCCAAGCAAAGGGGCACCGCGTGGTCCCTGAAGAGACCCTCCTTTCCTGAGGTTTCTTGCAGCAAAATTCCTCTTTCCAATTCTACAGAAAAAGGAAATTGTCTTTATTATGGAGAACAGGAGTCTCTAGCTGTCCTGGGAAACTCCTGTTAGGATTAGGAAATCGGTCTGTCCCCTAGCTAAATTGGACAAGCTCGGCTGTTAACCCATTTTTGTCACTTCCTTCTCAGCAAATCGAGAGCAGCTGGGAACCATCTTTTGTGTATTTGAGAGTGATGATGAAGTCATGCCTCAAGTGTCCCTTCTCCAAATGGCAGGATCCTAGTTCCTTCCTATCACACCCCCAGCCACATCTTCATGGCTCTCCCTTGACCCCTCTTCAAGCAAACAATTGTAAAAGAGAAATTTTACAGGTTGCCATATCCTGGTACTTGATGGTCTTTGTATGAACTCTTCGGCCCTCTGACTGCTTAAAGGAACCACAGAGGTGAATGCACTCTGGTTGTATTTACTCCTTACCCTGAGGCTAAAATGAGATACTGTGAACCTTGAGATAAAGAAAAACCATAAGGTTTCAAAATTAGGCACAAAGTAAAAAAAGAAAGCAGTACTCTTTAATAAACAAACAGTGCTTAAGTCAATCATCATGCATTTTGTTTTATTTTTATAAAAGTAAAAATAATGTGAGGGGCGTCTGGATAGCTCGGTCAGTTAAGCGTCCCACTTCGGCTCAGGTCATGATCTCACAGTTTGTGGGTTCGAGACCCGCATCGGGCTCTGTGCTGACAGCTCAGAGCCTGGAGCTTGCTTCAGATTCTGTGTCTCCCTCTCTCTCTGACCCTCCCCTGTTCATGCTGCCTGCCTCTCCCTCTCTCTCTCTCTCTCTCTCTCAGAAATAAATAAAACATTTTTTCTAAAAAAGAGTAATAAGTGAAATATCTTTTTGAGAGAGAGAGAGAGAGAGAGAGAGAGGGCATGTGCAGGGGAAGGACAGAGGGAGAGAGGGAATCTTAAGCAGACTCTGCAGCAGACCTGGGGCTCGACCTCATGACTGTGAGATCATGACCCAAGCCAAAATCAAGAGTCAGACACTTAACTAAGCCACCCAGGTGCCCCCAAAGTAATATGTGAAATAACTTAAGTCAAATAGCATGAGGCTAACCAGGAAAGATAGCAGTGTGCTTTCCCCACTGCTAATTTTCTTTCCCTAGAGGTAATATTCTAGCTATTTTCTTCTGAAACTCTCCCCATATGCTTCTCAATGACATGTTCTTTCTGTCAGGTCTTATTTTTTTCAGCCTCTTATACTATCTACTGACTTCTCACTTTGAAAGATGTTTGTTGATTGTTTCTCTCATACAACCTAAACATCCTACCATTCTCCCCTTCTCAATATAATTATATTGAAGTTTTTAGTTTTTTCCTCAGCTTTATTGAGATATAATTGACAGATGACATTGTGTAAGTTTAAGTTGCATAGTGTATTGATCCGATACTTGTATACAGCAACATGAGGACCAGCATAGCAATAGCTAACACTTCCATTATGTCGTATAATTATATCGTTTATCGTGATAAAAACATTGAAGTTCTATGCTCTTAGCAAATTTCTTTCCTAATGTTTTTCTAACATTTATTTATTTGAGAGAGACAGACAGAGTGCGAGGCGGGAGGGGGGCAGAGAGAGATGGGGACACAGAATCTGAAGCAGGCTCCAGGCTCTGAGCTGTCAGCACAGAGCCCGACGCAGAGCTCGGACTCAAGAGCAGTGAGATCATGACCTGAGTCGAAGACTGACACTTAACCAACTGAGTGACCCAGGTGCTCCTCTTAGCAAATTTCAAGTATATGATACAGTTCTATTAACCATCATCACCATGCTGGACATTAGATCCCTAGAACTTATTCATCTCAATGTTGATTGAAGTTTGTGCCCTTCAGTCAACATCTGCCCATTTCCCCGAGGTGCACCCCTCTGTTAGTCACCACTAACTACTGTTTTGGCCTTTTTTTTTTTTTTTTAACATTTTATGTATTTCTGAGAGAGAGAGAGAGAGAGACAGTGTTAGCAGGGGAGGGTCAGAGAGAGAGGGAGACACAGAATCTGAAACAGCCTCCAGGCTCTGAGATAGCTGTCAGCACAGAGCCCGATGTGGGGCTTGAAACCATGAACTGTGAGATCATGACCTGAGCCGAAGTTGGACACTTAACCGACTGAGCTACCTGGACACCCCTTGGCTTTTTAAGATTCTGCATATAAATGAGATCAATATAGTATTTTTCTTTCTCTGACTTATTTCACTTGGCGTAATGCCC